AGATTTACACCAAGCACTTTAAGTAGCAGCAGATTTACACCAAGCACATCAAGCAGCACCAGATTTACACCAAGTACTTCAAGTAGCAGCAGATTTACCCCAAGTACATCAAGTAGCAGCAGATTTAGGCCAACTACATCAAATGGCAACAGAATTGAATCGAGGACATCAAGTGGCACAGCGACTGGCAGAGGCTTTGACTCTTCAAGCCGAAGCAGACTTGGTGCAGCCAACAACAGTAGATTTACATCAAGCGCACTTGGTAGTAGCAGCTTCGGATCTGGAGCATCGACTGCCAGCAGATTTAGTGCAACTGGCAGTGTATTTGGATCCAGTGCATCCAGTGCCAACAGACTTGGTGCATCAAACAGTGGGTTTGGTCTGACAACTGGTACTGGTTCCACTGGATCTTCAGACGTAGTGAATGGAGTTTTCGAGCCTCTCAACCTTCCTGCTGGAGCCTCTCGCTTGCTGAACAGCATCTCAACCTCTTTCTCTTGCGAAGGTCGTCCTTACGGCTACTATGCAGACCAGGATAATTCCTGCCGGATCTTCACCATATGCTACCCAGCCCTGTTCTCAAACGGAGCTATCGAAACCTACCAATACAGGTATGATCATGCTGTAGTCTAAATTGCGATATATTTTCCTTTAAACGTATCGATGGTGATCATGCTATCCAATGAATAGGGATTTGAATAGCAAATTAGGTTGGGTATGTATCTATACTTTTTGGCAAATCTACCAGAGTGATTTGCTAGATCTGCACAGGATTTATAATATGTAGTTGTCTTAAATCCTTTTTTTCTGTCACTTTCAGCTTCCTGTGCGGTGAGGGTTCTGTATTCGACCAGAAGGAGCTAACCTGCGTGGAGGAATCAACCGCCATCCCTTGCCAAGAATCCTCCAGTTATTACTACAGGAATGAAGAATTCGGCCGGCCAGAAGAGAGGTCGCGATTTAATTAAATAATTAAAAGGAAGAATCGATTTTACGTTAAAAAATTAAGAAATCCAAATGGTGGTTTCACTTATTTTTTCCGATTTTTCTCCTCATCGGATTTGGCACAGATGATATTTAGAGGTAATGTTATATAGAGGCAATTCTAGTTTCATAATTGGCTAACATATAAGAATAGATAAATTATAGGAATTCTGATAAAATGATTGAATCAAAACACACCAAATAGGCCTACGTCTCCTTCGTTATGGAGATATTTGTCCTAAAATTTTTCTACAGTCGTCACAACTCCAATGTAGATGCAACCTTAATTGAACATTTATCACAAGGAACTTTGTTAACTGATGAATACACATATCAATATAATGTGTATGAATTGTCCCGTTTAGGTACACAAACGGAGTAACAGATAAAAGAGCCTAATGATATTGATGGTGGGATATAATAATGATGGTGATAGTGCTACCGCTGATGATAGTATTAGAAGCAATACCAAAATTATGATACTTATGAAGATAATAGTGATGATTACAACAACAAAACACTTGTAACACCAACAGTAATAATAATCAGGATGATAGTAATAGGGTAATAGTAACTGATTATGACATCGGTAAAATTGAAAGCTGGAAATAGACACACAAATTGATTAATCAAAGGCTTTCAAGCTTTTTTAATCATGTGTCACACATTACAGGAGTTATAGACACGGAATATATATATATATATATATATATATATATATATATATATATATATATATATATATATATACACACAACACACACACACACCACACACACCACACACATACACACACACACACACACACACACACACACACACACACACACACACACACAACAATATATATATATATATATATATATATTATATATATATATATATATATGTATATATATATATATATATATATATTATATATATATATATATATATATATATATATATATATATATATATATATATTTCTGTGTATGTCCGTGTAATATTTTCTTCTTAAAGATAGTTTAGTAATTAGATTGTATTTTAAATCTCATCGAACAATAATCTAATAAAAAATGATCAGCTTCATTATAAATATGCCAGATACCAAGTGCTACATCATATATGGCAGAACAATGAACATGTTATGAAAAAACATAAGAATTTCTAATGATTTGAACTTTTACACCCCCACCCTCAAAAAAAAAAAAAAAAAAAAAAAAAAAAACAGAATGAAAGAAAGAAAGAAAAAAAGGATTCTGAAAAATATCCATACACACTGAGAATAACACATACGTTTTCCATTACATCTGTATTTGTTTATAATGTTTTTCGTAGCGTAACTGCAATACTATAATTTGTTCAATATAATATTTGTTCAATATAATTTGTAACAATAATTTGTTCTGCTGTTCTGCTGTTATGTTTTTTCTCCTTCTAAATCATTATGATTGTTATCAGTATTATTGCTATTGATGTTATTACTATGATCATAATCATATTATTTTTATCATTTTCATTATTATTGTTATTA